CCAGCCTGGGTAACAAGAGCGAAACTCCGTCTCAAAAAAAAAAAAAATACTAATACTAATACTAATACTAATAAAAAGAAGCCAGGCACGCTGACCTGTCCCTGTAGTCCTAGCTACCTGGGAAGCTGAGGCAGGAGGGTCACTTGAGCCCAGGAGTTCAGGGCTGCAGTGAGCTATGATCACGCCACTATACTCCTACATGAGCAACAGGGTAAGACCCTGTCTCTTAAAAAAAAAAAAAAAAAGGTATTGTAGCTAGAACATTTTTTCATAGCTTCTCTATTAACACCTTTGCAGAAATTCCAGTTTGGGAATGCAAATCTAGACCATACTCAGCAGTCCTTTACCTCCATTTGACTCTTAACTTGGTAGAAGATTCCTATGGTCAGTTTGTGCCCAGTATCTAGACAAAGTGAAGGGACTTGTCAGTAGCTGAGGTGATAACTGTATATCTGGTGCTGAAGTGGGCACTGTGAGTACAAGAGATGTGGGCCCAGCAGCAGAGACCAGGGCTGATCAGTCACCCTCATGACTTTATCCAGCACCTGCCGCATGCTCAGCCTTATTCCAGGGGCTGCGGACACACAGGCAAGCGAGTTCTTACCTTCAAAGATTTCTCTGGTAAGTAGGCATTGGAACATAGATCTCAAAGGAATTGTGGCGTTGGGGTGCAGGCAGGCAGAAACTGCTTCTCCCAGGGAGGCTGCACCATTGTGCTGCCATCTTGAGGAATGAAAAGGAACCTGCCAGGTGATGAAGCACAAGGGGACTCCCGGTAGGAGGGGAACTGTTGAGCAGACGCCCAGAGGACTCTCTTGAGATAGCCTCGGTGGTATGTCCTGCCCTGTTCCAGCAGCTCTGTGCATGAGATAGGGCTTCCCTGGGCAGAGCCTCAGGTTCTGAAGAGCTTGGTTTGGAATATCTTTGGGGTGACCATTCTTTTTATTGTTCTGGAATACATGAGTATATCTTTATACATATATATATTTGAGACGGTCTTGCTCTGTCATCCAGGCTGGAGTGCAGTGGCGCCATCTTGGCTCACTACAACTTCCACCTCCTGGGTCAGGCGATTCTCCTGCATCAGCCTCTGGAGTAGCTGGGATTATAGGTGCCTTCTACCACACCCAGCTTTTTTTTTTTTGTATTTTTAGTAGAGATGGGGTTTCACCATGTTGGCCAGGCTGGTTTCAAACTCCTGACCTCAAGTGATCCACTTGCCTTAGCCTCCCAAAGTGCTGGGATTACAGGTGTGAGCCAGGCACCCAGCCATGAATATATTCTTTTTTTTTTTTTAAAGCCTGCAGCGCCCGGTATTCCCAGGCGGTCTCCCATCCAAGTACTAACCAGGCCTGACCCTGCTTAGCTTCCGAGATTAGACAAGATCGGGCACGTTCAGGGTGGTGTGGCCGTAGACCCATGAATATATTCTTATAAAAGACTCCAATAGCGTGAGCATGTGTGAAAATGTGTCAGTTGCCCTCTCTCCCTGCATATGCCCGCCTCAGCCCACCCTTTTTGCGCAAGTTAAGAATTTGGTGTTTATGCGTCCACACCTTTTGAAGTGCACCCCCTACAGATTCAGATATAGATTTACAAATGTATGTGTCCCACCCAGCAACCAGTGATATTTTTTTTAAACTAAATTCGGATGATGTTAGCCCCACTGCTTACAGCCTTCTGCTGTGCTAAAATCCTGCTCTCTCTCGGCCAGCCTGCGAAGGCCGTCTGCCCTCTGGTCCTGCCTTCCCCTCTAACCTCTGTCCTTCCTCTGCTCCTGTCATGCTGGCTTCTTTCCTGCCCCGTGTTTCTGGTCGTAGGACCTTTGTTCTTGTTACATCTTCCCGGAATGTCTCTGCCCTAGTTCTTCACACAGCCAGATTGTTTTTCTCTTTTATACTGAGTACCTTGCATGCTGCCTCCTCACAGAGGCCTTCCCTGACCACTGCAGCTGAGGTCTCTGCCCTCCCCTCCTACTCTTCTGTCCGGTGACCCTGGGTGTGTACTCTAAGATGAAATTGCATGTCTCTGTCTGTCTCCCTTCCCCTTTCGAATGTCAGCTTCCTGAGGTCAGGGATTGTCTTGGTTCTGGCTCTATTCTCAGTTCCCAGAATGATGGCTAACACATCCATACACTCAAAATATTTGCCAAATGAATAACTTTATGTGCACAATCCCGTAGTAATTGTTGATTTTCAAAAACATGGGTTTTTTTTTTTTTTTAATAACAATTTTGGATGAAACCACGCATTTGGAAGGATAAGCACTTAAACCAGATTTTAGCATGCTGCTCACTGTTGTGGAGCCTAGAGTAAGAGGCATGTTATTCATGGGTTCATTAAACATACATAGTTTACTGCTTAATATGCACCCAGTACTAGGCTAGCACTGGGGATATATTTGGAAATAAGACACCTAAGGTCTCACGCGTCAGGGAGTTTACATCACAGCAGGGAAGATGACAACATATAAACGAAAATAATTTCCAATTGTGATAAGCTTTGAAGAACTAAATGAGGTGCTGTGCTGGAGAGCAAACCGGGAAGGGCTGCTTTAGGTGGGGTGGGAAGCTTGCTCTAGGGAGCTGAGAATTGACTTCAGACCTGAAGAGTAAGAATGAACAGGCCAGTGAAGAGTCGGGACAGGCCTTGCAGGCCGAGAGAGGAACAGCCGTAAACGGGCCAGACCTTCGTTTATCTGAGTAACATAAAGGAACTGGACAGCTGGAACAGGAACCTAGGGAGCATGCTGCGGGTGGCAGCGGGGCAGGGTGCAGCGGGTGACGTTGAAGAGAGATTGATGTGATCTAACTTGGGTTGTTTTGTTTTGAGACAATCTCACTCTGTTGCCCAGACTGCAGTGCAGTGGTATGATCTCAGCTGACTGCAACCTCTACCTCCCGGGTAAAAGCAATTCTCCTGTTTCAGCCTCCTGAGTAACTGGGACTACAGGTGTGCGCCAACACACCTGGCTAATTTCTGTGTTTTTAGTGGAGATGGGTTTTCGCTGTGTTGGCCCAGCTGGTCTTGAACTGCTGACCTCCTGACACCTCGGCCTCCCAAAGTGGTGGGATTACAGGTGTGAGCCACCACACCCAGCTGTATCTTAGGTTTTTATTTTTATTTGTCTATTTATTTGAGACAGAGTTTTGCTCTTATCACCCAGGCTGGAGTGCAGTGGCACTTTCTTGGCTCACTGCAACCTCTGCCTCCTGGGTTCACATGATTCTTCTGCCTCAGCCTCCCAAGTAGCTGGGATTACAGGTGCCTGCCACCATGCCTGGCTAATTTTTGTATTTTTTGTAGAGATGGGGTTTCACCATGTTGGCCAGGCTGGTCTCGGACTCCTAACCTCAGGTGATCTGCCCCCCTTGGCTTCCCAAAGTACTGGGATTACAGGCATGAGCCACTGTGCCTGGCCATAACTTAGGTTTTTAAAATGTGGATTTGGGGCAATGAATTTGGATAGACATTTTTCCAGCGAAGATATACAGATGGCCAATAAGTACATGAAAACATCATCAGTCATTAGGGAAATGCAAGTCAAAACCCCAAGGAGGAGCCGGGCGAGTGGCGCTCACCTGTGGTCCCAGCTACTCAGAAGGCTGAGGAGGGAGGATCCCTTAAGTCAGCCTAGGCAACAACATAGTGAGACCGTCTCTAAAAAGACCACAATTCACAATGTGGGTGTGAATCTAAAGTGGTGCAGCTGCTGTGGAAAACACCTTTAAAAACATTTCCTCAAAATGTTAGGTCGGGCGCAGTGGCTCATGCCTGTAATCCCAGCACTTTGGGAAGCCGAGGAGGGCGGATCACCTGAGGTCAGGAGTTGGAGACCAGCCTGGCCAACGTGGTGAAACCCCGTCTCTACTAAAAATACAAAAATTAGCTGGGCGTGGTGGTGGGCGCCTTGTAATCTCAGCTACTCGGGAGGCTGAGGCACAATTGCTTGAACCCGGGAGTGGAGGTTGCAGTGAGCTGAGATGATGCTACCGCACTCCAGGCTGGGTGACAGAGTGAGACTCCATCTCAAAAAAAAGAAACAAAAAAGTTAGACATAGACTTACTGTATGAGTCAGCAATTCCACTCATTGATATATACCCAAAGGAATTGAAAACAGGCCTTCAAACAAATACTAGCCTGAATGTTTCAGCAGCACTATTCACAGCAACCAAAAGGTAGAAACAACCCAAGTATCTTTTAAGTGACGGATGGATTTTATTTATTTATTTATTTTTTTGAGATGGAGTTTCACTCTTGTTGCCCGGGCTGGAGTGCAATGGCGCAATCTCAGCTCACTGCAACCTCCACCTGCCAGGTTCAAGCAATTCTCCTGTCTCAGCCTCCAAGTAGCTGGGATTACAGGTGCATGCCACTATGCCCGGCTAATTTGTACTTTTAGTAGAGATGGGGTTTCTCCATGTTGGTCAGGCTGGTCTCGAACCCCTGACCTTGTGAACTGCCCGGCTCGGCCTCCCAAAGTGCTGGGATTGCAGGGATGAGCCACCATGCTCAGCCTGGATGGATATTTAAGATGTGACGTAGCCACACAGTGGAATATGTTTCTGCTATAAAAGGGAATGACTGCTGGCACAGTGGCTCACGTCTGTAATCCCAGCACTTTGGGAGGCTGAGGTAGATGGGCAGATTGCCTGAGGTCAGGAGCTCGAAGCCAGCCTGGGCAATGTGGCAAAACCCCATCTCCACTAAAAATACAAAAAAAAAAAATTAGCTGGGCATGGTGGCAGACACCTGGGATCCCAACTACTCAGGAGGCTGAGGCAGGAGAATCACTTGAACCCAGTAGATAGAGGTTGCAGTGAGCTGAGATTATGCCATTGCAGTCCAGCCTGGGCAGCAAGAGCAAAACTCCATCTGAAAACATTTTAAATTTGATTATACACTTAAAATAGGTGACTGTTATGATATATGAATTTCATGTCAATAAGACTTTTTTCTTTTCTTTTTTTTTTTTTTGGTGACGAATTCTTGCTCTGTCGCCCAGGCTGGAGTGCAATGGTGCGATCTTGGCTTACTGCAACTTCCACCTCCCAGGTTCAAGTGATTCTCCTGCCTCAGCCTCCTAAGTAGCTGGGACTACAGGTACGTGCCACTACACCTGGCTAATTTTTTTTTTTTTTTCGGTAGAAACGGGGTTTCACTGTGTTTAGCCAGGATGGTCTCAATCTCCTGACCTCATGATCCACCCGTCTCAGCCTCCCAAAGTGCTGGGATTACAGGCATGAGCCACTGCGCCCGGCCCTCGATAAAACTTTTAAGAAATGTTTACTCAATTTAAAAATTAGGACAAATTATTGATACATTTATTTAATAATACGGGTGAATATCAGAATAGTTTTGCTGGATGAAAGAAGCCAGGCAAAACAGAGTATAAGACTATGTTTCCATTTAAGTTACATTCTGGAGAATACTATCCAATCTGTACTGATGGAAAGTAGATGGGTAGTTGCCTGGGTCCCCGGAGAGGGTGACAGGGGACAGGGAGGGGCAGGGAGGGACAGGGAGGGGCAGCTGGGAGAGATAACAGAGGGAAACCTTTGGGGGTGGCAGGTATATTTATTTTTTGACTGTGGTGATCTGGGTTTCCCATGTGTATCTTTTATTTATTTTTTTATATCTCTTTATTTATTTTGAGACAGAGTCTTGCTCTTTTGTGCAGGCTGGAATGCAGTGGCGTCTTCTCAGCTCACTGCAACCTCCCAGGTTCAAGTGATTCTCCTGCCTCAGCCTCCCCAGTAGCTGGGACTATAGGCGTGCACCACCATGCCCGGCTAATTTTTGTATTTTTGGTAGAGTTAGGGTTTCACCATATTGGCCAGGCTCATCTTGAACTCCTGACCTCAGGTGATCCACCCGCCTCAGCCTTCGAAAGTGCTGGGATTACAGGAGTGAGCCACCACGCCCGGTCTCCCATGTGTGTCTTTATGTCCAAATTTATTGAATTGTACCCTTTTAATATGTGCAGTTTATTGCATGTTGATTATACCTCAGTAAAGCTGTTTACAAAGCCTCAGTCTGGATGCTGGGTGGAAATGCTTGGAGGGCGAGAACTGGAAGTTGAGGAGTCAGTGGAGGTGGTTGCGGCTGCCCAATGGGAAGCGGCTCAGTTGGGGCTGGGGTGAGGTCTGTGGAGAGAGGCTGGTGGATGACGTGTGCTTTGGTGGGACCCATAAGACCTAGGGATGGATCTGATATTAGGGGTAGAAGAAAGGTAGGAAAAAGAGGTGATTTTTAGGTATTTTGCTTGAGCACAGCTCTGTCTTTATCATCTCTGTTTATCTAAAATAGTCCAGGAACTGAGGGAAGACTCAGGGAGGGACAGGCTTTAGGAGCAGAGGATCACATGTCCCACATTGGAAATCCTGTGTGAGGTGTGTGAGGTGTCCAGGTGGGTGTAAGGCTGGTGCTGAGAGAGGCTGAGACACATCAGCGTGCAGAAGGTGTTTAAAGCGGGAGTGCAGGCAGAGAGCCCCCGAGGGCCTGGACCCAACGTGGAGAGGTCAGCAGAGGGGTAGACGGGGAGTCTGGGCCCAGCAGCTGGCGAGGAGCTGGAATGGAGGAGGAAGAGAGCCCAGTGGCAGGTGAGCTTCCACATCCTTGATGAGGTGCGCTCAGAGTCTCACCCACAATAAGACCGAGGAAATGAGGCAGGTGTGTGCCCAGAGTGCCAGAGAGGCACCGGAGAGAGCTGCCAGGCAGCCACAGGCCCTGGCTCAGTGTCAGGAATTGAAGATGAAATGGGTCCAACTGATGATGTGAATTTTCTTCTCCAGCAACACTGAGTTGCGTGGGTGCAGGTGGGAGCAGTGGGTTAGCTGGGCTCCTTCAGGGGCCTGGCGAGACAGGCCTGGGTGGGGGACGAGACACAAGCAGAGGATGGCAGCAAAGGCTGGGCTCCAGCTGGGTAAAGGCGGGTCGCCAAGCTGGGACAAGGAGGGTGTCTCCATGAGGCTGGAGTTGCGTGCAGGATGAGAGAACACATGTGCTGAAGCGTTGTGGGTGGTGGCCTGGGAGGCAAAGCCTGAGACTAGGATTTGGGGGGAAGTGACTCCAAGCTCCCTGGGGTGACAGTAGGAGACGTATTGGAGGTTGGGTGTTTGGAGGTGGGGAAGGTTAGGAGCTGAGTGACAAAGTGTTGGATCTGCACCTGTGCACACACATACACGTGGACATGTGTCAAGTCACTGAGGACTGTGATGGAGCAGGAGTGGAGAAGATGGCGAGCCAGTGACAGAGTGCATAAGGGATAGTAACTGGCAACAGTGACAGCGGCCAGGAACGGCAGCAGGGATGTGCTATAGGGTGTGGGCACTGGCATCAGGGATGTGGAAGGAGCAATGGAGAAGGAAGATGCCGCCATCTCTGAAGCCTGTGGGGTGTGAGGAAGAGGCAGCTCTCACTCAGAGGCGAGTTGGGGAGCTGCACCCTTGATGTGAGGCCAGTTTCGGCTGGGGCAGGAGTGAGGATGCTGGGGAGAGGCTGGGTCTTTAGGAGAGGGGCTGGCGTGGCTGGTGGAGGTAGTGCCAAGAGCAGGTAATGAAAGGGCACACCCTGTGCCCAGTCTTACCTCTGCCTCTTGGGGGACTCGTTTGCCAGAGAGAAAGCATCAGCAAAGTTCTGTCTTCCAGAGGCTCAGCAAAATGCACAGGAGGTACAGGTTCCAGTGGCGAATGCCAGCCTCATGAGGGTGTTTGGGGCCAAGTGGCCCCATTAGTGAGGGCTGGGGGCCCTGTGGGCATGAGGGTGCAGGCACCTGCGAGGCCATTTTGGTCAGCTTCCCCATGGTTACAGCGCAGCACTGTGACTCCAGGGACTTGGTGCTCCTCATGCTGAGCCACGCCAAGCCTGTCTTTCAGGGACTCCATCACTGCAGGTCTCAGTCCAGCATAGAGTAGGCCCCTTCTCTGTGTTCCCCGGGCCAGGGGACTTGCACACCAGAATCCTTCTTCCTCATAGATTTCTTGACTTACCTCTCTGCATCGCAGGAGGCCCTGCAGGCAGATGTCCAGCCCAGAGCTGGCTGCCTGGCCAGGGTAGGGACATGTGGCTGCCCAGGGCCATGGGATGGGGCAGACACGTGAGGCCAACGCCTCTGGTGTGGAGATAGTACAGGGTGGTGGGGCTCCCACAGCAGGTGAAGGGTTCAGACTCAGAGGGTCCAGCCCTGTGAAGGCGGGGCAGGTGGGGAGGGCCTCGGGTGGTGAGTCGGGGGCTGCAGGCTCGCTGCTCAGCCTCCCTTCTCTTGTTGACAGCACTGACGTCTTCATCTGCACAAGCCCCATCAAGATGTTCAAGTACTGTCCCTATGAGAAGGTAAGGCATGCATCTGCTCAGCTGGACCTTACCCGTGTTCAAACAGGCGCGGGGTGTGGGACCCAGCCTGCCTGTGGAAAGGGGATGGACCCTCGCAGCACTCCCCCACCCCTGTGACAGTGGCTCCCACTCCCCAAGGCCCTCTCCTGCCCCAGCCTGAGGCTCTAGTTGGGGACTCATTATGATGCAGGTTCTTGTTATGATGACAGGGAAGGGTGCCTGTCACCGTGTCA